AATTACTACCATAAAAATAAATAATATAATTATTAATTAGAAGACAAAATAGACTAAACGAAATCTGGAAGGTGACACGAAGACTGTAAAACATTGTACTAATAACGTGAGTGTAGAGTACGCGATTTGTAAGTTGCCACTTGCTATCGAGCACATTAAAAATATGTACGTAATTTGTATTAGTTATAGCTAGAGGGGGCGATGTATAGAAATCTCTTGAAGACAGTCACACACTGAAAAAATCTACTCGGTCAACCGTCCAATCACATTGCTTTGTCTAGGTTATAAATAATCATAAGCCGCAGCTCCGTCCTTTGAGACGATCGAGAGGCAGCCTGCGATTGGTCGGCGGCCGCGAAAACTTAGATTATAAGGGCAAACACAAACTGCAATTAAGCGGTGTAAAAAAATTAAAATATTGTAGATGGTTTGTAGCATATCTAGACAAAACAACATGAGAAAATCTAATACAGTCCACGCAGTTAATGATCCCGAAAACAAATTCATACTAAAATCTTACGCATGTAGTATTGTGTACTTTACGAACGAACTGGCTCCCACAGACGAACTACGCGAACTAGTTCCCACATTTCCCTTTTCCTAGTTCGTTAGTTCGTGACGGAATGAGTACAGGTGAAATCAAACGAACTAATGTAATGAAAAATATAAAGTATTCGCTGCCTTAGGTTTATTGTTAAACCTAGTTATTTACATTTAAAAAAATTATGTAAATGTACAACGTTCAATAATCTTGTCACAACAGGCAGGAGCAGTATCAAAACGAGTGAACTAACTGCCTCAAAATAATTCGATATAAGGCAGATCGTTCTTTAAATTGCTCCTGCTGCAAAGAGTAAAGAGCTAGGAATCTAAACAAACTAACGAACTACAAGAACGATCTAGTTCGTTTAGGAGCCGCGAACTAACTCTTTCGATCTCAGATGCGAACTATTACGTGAAAGTCTAATTGCCGTGAAAGACGTACTCAGCACTCGGATCTCTTCAATCCTGCAGTTCTAAATAAACCTACTCCAATTGAAAACAACTTCATTTCTATTTATACAAATGCCGCTCCAAAATTTGTAACAAACGATCCTTTGACAACTTAAGATTTCACTACATCTTTGAACATTTAATACTAACCAGTCATTACATGCATTTTATACACAACTAAGTTTTCTTATTAAGGCCATTCATTTTACTTTTATATACATTTAACTCGGCAATTAAACATACTATCAACCTACAAATTGGCTTTACAAAAAAAAAACATTATTAAATTACAATTACAGTTCAAAGTTCCAAATTAATATACTTCACAGGAGCCGGAATAGCATCGATCACATTCCCTCGACTTACTAGCTAGTAATTTGAGACCCACACATTCCAACATCACTTTCGTTAAATTAACACAATCAACGTTTCTTGATATTATAGAACATTAAACCCTAGACACTGTGCAGCCTTGTTAATGGTCAAGTTAACAAGGCTCATCCAAATTATACCGGCATTAAGTTGACTGTGTAAACACACCTGTGAAGTTTTTGATACCTACTCTTTGGTATCCTATAAATATTTGATGTCAACAAAAATAACAAAAATATCATTTATCTGTAAATAGAAAAAAGTTTTAATAGAACTAGTTTACTTAAAACTTTTATAGTGAAAAAAAACAGATTGTTTTTAGATTTTTAAAAATTAACCAGGTTAATTTTGATTGCTCTGTATTTTATAAGTTCTTAAATAAGCTTTAAAAGTTTCAATTTTTTAATTTTGCATTTCATTCGATAATATCATTTACTATATCGTATACTACACAACATATATCCATGCTCTGTTGTAATTTTGAGTCAATCAAGATTCATTCGAATCCACATTTAACATTCAGCCCATCGAAATGATAATCACCAGTATGCAACTTGTCAACATAGAAATGCCAGTGATCCTATAAACGTTATGAGACAAAATGGCTCTAAACCGTTGTCCCTTGTCCCAATGATAAAGACCAGCTACTAGTTGTCCTGACCGGCAATCTTTCAGTGTTCAAAGTTTAAGTTTAAGTTCAGTGTTTACTTGTACTGAATATTATTGTTACTATGCGTGTTATCTTGTGACCCCTAATTTTAAAGGTTTCGTCATTACAAACCGAAAATTAAAAATATGTCTTATTTGAAGTTGTTAACTAGGCCACGCTTTCTGTTATTTGATCTATGCGACAAATACAGTTTGTAACATAATTATCTGTTAAAACTGAAACAACATTGTCATCTGAGTCTAGCCAAAAATCAGCGTCTGTCTCTTTTAACTTTTTAGGAAATGAAAGAGATCGTCATATGCTGAGCTAGACGTCTTTTTCATACAACTGTGGGAGACGCATTGCTTTATTACCTGTTATTATTATTACTTATCTCTTTGAATTTTCTCTCATATTTTATTCTTTATAATATATCAGGCAAATCAACTAATTTGATTTGATTACTGTTTTCTTTTCTACATCTACAAGATAAAGCAATAATGATTTCAGTTTCATGTAACATTTAATGAAACTTCAAATTTTAATTTCGGTTATTTTAAAAGATCTGTGATGAACTGATGACGCTTCTGTTTTAAAAGTCAAATAAAGTTTATTTTATTAAAATAAAATATTTTAATATCAACGAATGCCAAATGGAATAACGCTTTATTTTTCCACAAGTAAAAACTCATCATTACACATTACTAAAATAATTTATAATTATGTATCCAAAGAAAGTCAGTAAATCACGCCTGAAAATAGCCTCCGACACAAATCAAATGGAAAGTTACAGCTTAATACAAATACTTCAAATAACACGGCCATTATTATCTAGAGCCACAATACATCGTAAATAATATTATATTTCTCAGATTAATAGTATCCAATATCCACATCGTACAAAAAATACTGAAAACATCAAAATTAGATACATAAAAAGCTGCGATAGTGAAATGAATCTTAAAAAGTGGACTTCTATATTTTATAATTATAAACATGTGAAAATAGATAGCGATGTACAATCGCGGAAGTTCTACTTTGCACACAAAGTATTTCTGCGAACCGTAGGGATATAGCGCAAGGCATAATCATCAAAATGTAGTAGACCCTTATTCCTCGATTACATTGACATTTTACTCATATAGGTACAGTAAAAAGTCCACTCGTATGAACATTTTTTAAAGTTATAACACTGATCCCCACGATTAATTCCGACGAACATCTACAAATTGTATAACCAACAGCATGTCGGGTTATAAAAATCAACCACATTTCTCAGTTTGATTTTAAACCTTAATGATTTGAAGATACAGTTTAAAATCAAGAGGGTAAATTCGACATATTGTTGCAACATGCAGCTGTGTATACATTGTATTGTACGCCACTTGTTGCGTAAGAGTAAATACACTCCGTTAGCCTCTCGCCATTTTACGCCCATGTTAGTCTTAAGTTATTTATTATCCCACCGGGCCAACTTCGCAAACGATCTCTATTACTAATCACGATAAATAAAATTACTACAGTTGTAGTTCAGCAAAAACAAATCTTCTATAGCAGTTAAATATACGTCCCACTTTACATACAACTCCTTGGGTCAATTCCCACAGAATGAAAAATAAAGTTTATATCTTATGGCTAGTTTACACTTGATTAAGTAACTAAGTAGTTAATTAATTTTTCACTTAATGTTAAATGATTAAGTACGTATAAACACACAATTAAGTAATCAGTAGCAATTTAAAATTTAGTTAACTACTTATGAGCTCAGTTAGAATTAAAATTTAACCTGGATGTAAACATCCAAATAAGTAGCATATACTTATACACTTAAAATTAAGTAAAAATCTACTAGCTATTAATCTACTTAATTCCCTGTAAACCAGCCTTTATAGAGAGCACGTTAAAATTAATAGTCAAAAAGTGGCAAACAGTCAACTTCCCCGATTGTACTTTGTGATTGTACCATTAGCTTTACGAATAGTAAATATTCCGAGTGAGACAGCACTAGTTTTACATTACATGTCCAACCTTATAGTATAGTGTAACAAGATCTAGAATTAATTGGTACTTAGAAAACATAACAATTTTTATAATAATAAATGTTGTTACCACCTGTCTTAGTCAAATTATTTTTGTAGTACTACTTTATAAATTTCAAACCCTTGCATCTTTCGGTTGTTCGACATTAAGCGTTATTTATATAATCACGTGACCAGGGGCTTCTATACCTCGTAAATTCGACCTTTGGTATCATGGTGTTAGTTAAGTGAGTACTTTCAATGATAAATTTTACACAACTCTTTGGAATGAAACCGTACATATAAATATTAATGTCAGAACGTCATCTTAATTTCAAACTGTTAATATTTCCCCATATCAATTATGAACCCTATAGCCAAAAAGGTAGTTCTAAAGTCGATTGTAGAAATTCGACACTATATTTTAAGCTGGCTACTATATTATTACACTATTCGAAGATGATTTAGCTGATTTTATATTGTTATTAGTACAAAATAGTATATCAAATTATATTTTGAGCATAATTACGTCAACAATCTTTTGTTGACAACTCCAACACCAGGTGAAATATTGTAAATTCACTCAAAATGATTAGTCACGAAGGCATATTTTAACAATTATAATAATAAGGAATGTTGACATTTACTGACAAGGCTCAAAATTAGAAAGGTAAATGAGAAATTCTATCGACTATATTCGGTTCACATACACAGTTATCTCTAATCTGTAAATGGTTCACCATTTAGCGTACTTTAAGCAATTACTCAATTTACTGAGCTACCAATAAAACTAAACTCTGAAACTCTTAAATAATTGTCGCCGTGTTCTATATAAAAGCCCGCTTTGTACTTTAACATAATTTTTATGTTCAAAATAATAAATACTTAAATAAAATAAAAAGCTAACAGAAGTCCCTTAAACTCTTGGTGTTGACATGTCGTAATTAGCGTTTCATTTTCATTTTTTTCACGTGGCAACACCGCCCGCACCACACAATGGCACTATTAAATGCATATTATTATCACTGCCCGTCGCGAGTCCCACTCATTTTTAAGCAATCAAGAGACATATTCAACAAACTGGAAAAATTGTTATTGCAATACATATCTTATATCCGTGTACAAAGGACATACGAGAATCTTGTTCGGTGTTTTTTATAATTACGCTTATTTCGATTTATAAAACAAAACAAATTTAATATTCTTTTGCATTATTACTATTATATGCACGTGAATTTTATTCTGTCAACAGCATATAAGGTTAATAATTATGTTAATTTGCCATTTTGTAGGAAACCGCGGCTCTATCGCGAAAATCCTATTACAGATCAAAGACTCCCTGGATCAACTGTCAGTCTGAAAGATCATTCGGGGCTCTATTTTGACGGATCAATCAGTTGCAATAGCACGGTGGAGGACCTGATAAGCACTACCCCATATTGTCAAAGTTGGACTTTAACTATAATTATTATAGCTGTTTCTATGACTATGGCTTTGAAGACGCGGCAGGGTCCCCGAGATGCTGCCCAGATGTACATAATAAGGGAACGAAATGCCGAACCAAAGTTATACCAAGATACACACATAGCCTCGATAACCCTTCGTATAAAATTTACATTTAATAAAGAGATAATAATTCAATCTAAAAATATCGTAAATAAAGATTTCGTATGTCTAAACTCAAATAAATACACTAAGCTTAATGAAACTTACACAACTAAATGAGTATAATTATTATGATCGAAATTATGCATCGCCGCAAAATCTTATCGAGTAATGGTCAGTTGCACATACGTCCATTAAGGTTTAATGACGTCTTTAAGCTCTAATGAATGTCATATTTGTATGGGTAATGTCGCTTTAAACAATGACAATTTAATGAACGTTTGTGCAACTGGCTGTAAATCAGGGGTCCGACCTCGTAACTCAAAACCGTAGCCAAATATTTGGCTATAATAGTTATTTTTCAGCTCTGAATGTATTTATACTTATTCATAATTATACGTTCTTTTATTATAATTAACATAGGGATGTAAATTCAATGACCAATAGTTTATTATAATTTACGAAGTAGTTTTGTTAGCCTAGATTATACTTTTATGAAGTCAAATCTAATATAATTGAAAGAAGCAGACAAAATAGATAATGGTTTAATAGAAATATGTTTAATAATTTCATTGATAAAATTTTTAAAATGTTCTTACAGCCATATAGCATTGGTATTGAGTAAGGTGGTCAAACCCTACATGGAAAACACTATATCGATCAGGCGATAGTTTATTATTATTATACTTTTCCAGGTCATATATTCCAAATATATTTCCAATGACAACTGAAACTTTGTGCCCATCATTAAATTATCGTAAAAATTGTACAAAAATGTATGTATATAATTAAAATATACACGTTAGAAGCTAGTGAGATTACACATTTTTGCATTATTTTGTGCCAAGGGACGGAATATTTCGTAAGAGAAAACACTGCAGGACCATAGCGCACAGATTACATCGAAAACATAGAAAAAGGCATCGCAGAGTCTTTTCGTCCCGACTGTACCTACATACGACAGCATGTCACACTTTACAAAACAATCAATTATGTCCAATTGATTTTAATTATTAACATGTTAAAGTTTCATTCAAAATCGTTTATTAGACATTTAATGCATAATATGTGAAATTATTTTACAGTATCATTGAGCCCACAATTTCATTGAATATCGGAACCAGCCAATCTTCTGAATATAAACATAGCAATGTTGTTGCAATACGGATATTTTCACTATAGAAAAGTTGACTTTGAAAAATACACAATATCGATACATAGGACAAATTTCTCGATTCTGTCAATACTATCGATATAGCAACAACACTAAAATATACCTTTCGTTGCTGTTACAGCCAACACTTTCACAATAACACCATCCATCACAGAGCAATTTTTATTCGTCGCCTTTTTTGTACCTTTCCCTTCAGTTAGCTACAAAGCAAAACTCTAATTGATATTTATTACAATAGCAAATCATCTAACCAATAACACGTCTAGTCTCAACTTGGCACTGCAATTATAGATAACCATTTATTATTCAAACAATCATATTGTTCTAAACAAATCTCACAAAGATTATAATCGAGTAACATATGAGAGCTTCTCAAATACTAATTTCATTTTATTTTATTATTTTCTTCTAAGACTTCCCCCTACACTGATTATACATTGTATACAAATTATATCTAATACTAATTCCGTGTACAACAATGCGGCTTGCCTTTATAGCTAATCCCTTGTACGTAAATACGGGTACATGCGTAGATACATACGTAAAATTTCACAAAAAGTGATCAAAACATTAATCGAGTGCAAAATCTATATTTTTGGTCATAAATATACTGATATACAAATTTTTTATCATTAATATATGATATACTATACACAGTTTTCACCGACGCAAATGCGATCGGTAAATAAATAAATATGAAAAACAAAAATTTATACATATTGTACAATAGTGGCTAAAAAACAACAGTAAAAATCACATGTCTGTCTTTTCATTGAGTCCCCATTATATTGACGCCGACACAGGACTATTTAATACGAAAACGAAGGGACGTAAACACCAAGCGATAAAAACGTAAACGCGTATTGCCAACATTTATCACAATCGGTACAAATCCTTTTTACATCACTAGAGCGTCCGTACCGCGTGCGTCACTGCAGCATAAGAGATTCTAGATTGCGATTGAGGATGGTGTCTTTGACAGAGTTGAATACTACCTCTATGTTGTGCGTGTCTATGGCTGTTGTGAAATGGTGGTAAAGTGTCGTCTTCGGTTCCCTGCGAACGTTCGCGAACATGTTCAGAAGGAACATTTGCACGTCGGCGAGATTGTGCGGGTCGCCGGCGAACTGCGGGTAGTACCAGCGTATGTCGGTCTCGTTGCTGGCGACCTTCTTCGCGAGCAGATCCGATTTGTTGAGGAACAGTATTATAGAGATTCCCTTGAAGTTCACGTTGTTCACGATCGTGTCGAAGATGTTGAGCGCCTCTTCGAGACGATTCGTTTTCCTGGAATGAAAATTGAAACTTTTACAGCTATGGACATGGACGCGTCAGTGTGAAACGATAATTTATTATATTATCTCTTATCTGGATGATTCTGGTAACTTATTTCACCAGTCCAAAAATATATAACATAACAAAGGTTACCAAAAAGTATCATATTTCCGCCAGCGACTTTTATCTTAGTTCACCCAGAGTAAGGATTGAAATTGATTGGAGAAATTTGACTGTTTAGTACAGACCTGATATTTTTTTTAATTTATTTATGAACCACAAACAAGATTACAATACACTTATGATAATAGTTACAAAGATTACTTCGATCATTGACCGAAGATAAATTAGGACTTATGTACTTATTGTAAACTCAATATCGTTTGGTTACGTTTAAATACACATCATCATCATCATCATCAGTGCTTTTACGTCCCCACTGCAGGGACTCAAGCCTTCCTTGTGGATGGTTAAGGAGGATGGGCCATGACCCTCCACGCTGGCCCAATGCGGATTGGAGGGTATTAACGACTGCAAATGAAGCCGGGACCAACCGATTAACGTGCCTACCGAAGCTCGGAGTAGCTCAAGATAATAATTTTTTTTTGGTCACCCATCCTGTGACCGATTCTTGCGAAATTTGCTTAACGACAACGATCGCGGGCCGCGGTGCTTATCCACTACGCCCCCGAGTTACTCATATTCTAGTTATACACATATTCTAGTGCAAACTAAAGATGCAAATTCTTTGCAAGACTCATACAATTTATGTTACAATTACATTAAAACTATATATATAGAACCAAATTATATTGACAAAAACTATTCTATTATATACATGTACAGTGAAACAGAGATTTATCCCTATTTATATATGTAATGTAAATTTAGAAATAATTGTTATGTCTCTATTTTATTGAATGCATGTTTATGTGTGCATGTTTGATCTCGGGTATAGGCGTGTGTGTGTATGAGAGTGTGTGTACATGTGAAACTGTCGTGGTAAATGCAAAAATAAAACTATCAATGGAATGTTTAAGAATTCAACAAAACATCAACTATTTGTTTTACTGTACAAAATCTTTTAATATATGTGTCAACTATGCGATTTAAAGGAGAGTGAATACCAGCGTTTGTGCGATGAAGATTGTGAAGAGAAGCGAGTTGTATTCGATTTAAAATCTAGGCATTCGAGCATTTCAAGTTATTTACTCGATAGTAGCAGTTCAAGGGTTGCCGAATATGCTTATTTTAAGGATATTAGTCATCGTTATATGAATGAAGCACTATTTTCTAAACAGAGAAACGAGTACATAATAGTAGCTAGTTCTAATAGTTTATTTAGGTTACACATCATGTGTTATCGTTAAAATAATAGAAAATCACCCGTCAAATGTAGCATGCCTGTTTAATTTAACACGAGGATCTTAAAGAAAGGTTCTTAATGTCTTACAATTTCGGGAATTAAAAGAACCCTTATTGTATTAGAAGTTAAGATTGAGTATCTATTGCGGAAATTTGTCAATTATGTGGTCGTCTGGCGTATTATTGTGTGTCCCTATATCATTTTAATATCTGCACATATAAATTATCATACATGTGTTGTAGTGGTCTAATAAATTAATTATTTATCTGTAAAGGCAAGTTAGTAAGTTGAGTAGCTCGGTGGCGTAGTGGATAAGCGCCGCGGCCCGCGATCGTTGTCTTTAAGCAACTTTCGCAAGGGTCAGTAACGGGATGGGTGACCAAAAAATTATTATCTCGAGCTACTCCGCGCTTCGGAAGGCACGCTAAGCCGTTGGTCCCGGCTGCATTTGCAGTCGTTAATACCCTCCAATCCGCATTGGGCCAGCGTGAAGGGTCATGGCCCATCCTCCTTAACCATCCATAAGGAAGTCCATAAAAGGTAAACGTAAAAGGGCTGATGACGATGAAGAAAGGCAAGTTATTCACGATGTTAGCTATACAAGTCTTAGCCAAAAAATACTGTTTAAAAACCCTTAGAAATGTGATGTCATTGTTCTAAGCATATCTTATTTGGACGTTATTTCTTGGTACAAAATCAATTGAAAGGTCATCATTTTCCGTGAACACGCCCCTTAATGTCAGCGTGCATTGGGCCCATTTCTGCTTTATATACCTACTTATATATTTAGAAGAGCGATAAAACTACAGTGCGATAACGTAACTATACAGTGATGAGCTCCAAAATAATTTATAAAGATATTTGACAAAAGGCTTTTATCAACTAATCCCAGATCGTGTGCCTTTATCGAGATAAGAAATCTATTTTTACAAAATAAAAATGGCCCATCACTATTTAGGATAACAGAAGTCGGCCTTCACATTCAGACAGCGTATACGTACAGTTTTCTAATCTCGCACCTGTTTACATGTACTTATTAATAACTGCATTGAACATTCGTTAGCGTGGCTCGCTCTCATCGCACCGCACACCAAAACAAAAGAGTTATTGCATACAACAGAAACCCTAACCGAACCCCTGTACTATAACAACACTGATATAATATTTTAACAAAGCGACGTGATGATTGACGACTCAAAAGATATTTATTTAGTAAAAATGACGGTATTATAATCAATGCTTATTATAAAATAGAATATCTAGATTGCGCAATAGTTAACGCGTTCGGTGAGGGATGAGATTAAGCCACTTTCGCAGAGGACGGTCATAGATGGGTGACCGATGTAAGCTCATCCGTGCTAAGGAAGACACGTTAAAGTTTCGGTTCCATTAATAAAGTCAAACCTTGACGTGCTGTAGATTTTAAGATGTTTGCATTTTGTTTACCAAGGGATGTCAAAAGATCTTATAAAAAAAATTGTTCAGGATTGCCTACTGAACTTTGCACCAATTTACATATTTGATAGATTGAAATAGGTTATTTTCATATTTATGTTTTTGGAGGGATTTGGCATTACAGTTTTGCATAACCTGAAGGCCACTCTGTTTCTCCGAAAACGAAAATTCGTCTATTTTCGAAACCCTAATACGACTCTAAAGGAACATATTTTCCGATAGTTAATAATAAAACGGAGGTTTTATTATCACTATAATATTGACGCATATGATTTTAATTTTCGTTCGTTGACAAACAGAGGAGCCCCTCTGATATGCTGTTGATTGTACTCGATAGACAGGTAAAATAAACATAAATACGATAGATACACCACAGTATATACTACAAAATCTTATCATGCGATGGATTATGTTTCCATGTAATTTTTTGTATAAATGAAGTATTGTTATAGGTAATATTTTAGGAAAAGAATATATCAACAATTCTGCGAATCGAGTAGGTATATGATGAATAATTTAGAAAATATATGTTTTTTTAAATAATCGGTTGGCTAGTAATAAGGAATTATTTCATTCCGAAATGTAAATATTAGGGGTTCCTTGAATTGACATAGAATCTTCATGGTTTCAGGTTTTCTAAAGAAACTTGCTGCACATGTTTTCTATGGTGTTATTCTTTTAAAAATTGAAACATTTGAATATCGACTTTCAATTGTTTTTGTTATTCAGGAACTGCATTTAGAAACCATTCGTCATCCTCCGTATTCGCCAGACCTTGCTCCAACGGATTACCATTTTTTTCGTGATTTGAACAATTATCTACATGACAAGAAGTTTCCTTCCCAGGAGGCAGTACAAAATGCTTTCACGCAGTTTGTGCAGTCTAGATCCTCAGAGTTCTAACGCAAGGGCATAATTGATGATAATAATGGTAACTTTTTTGATTAAATAAATTTGTTAAAAATTTAAAAATAATCAATTTTTATTTTCAGTACAAATCGGCAATTTCATACTTTAACCCCTATTTTTATTAACGTAATAATAGATTATACTGAAAAATTCAGTCAGTCAGTGAAGATTTACTACACACACTGGGCCAAGATATGAATTAATGAAGGTGATTTGAAAGGCTCTTATTACCACCTGTGTTTTTTTACCAAACAATTTTATTTTTATGACACCCTCTGCGAATGACGAAACTTTACGTACTGCTGTAACCGAGGATGGTATTAATCATGACAACACCATAATTTTAATTATACTGATAATTCGGTCCTCATATCGAATGTTGATGGGATGATGGCAATTTTTTTATTGTCTGTCCATCAGGTAGATTATTGAAGAATATTAAAGCTTCTTTTTATTTTTTTGCGTAAACAATAAATTACGACAATACGATTTCAAACGTCGCATGACGCCTTTGTACATTTTCTACATAGTTCTGACGTAGGCCTTTCCCAACTTTAATGCCTATTATCTAAACCATTTTTTATACTTAATGAAAGATTGATCAAATATAATAATTAATACATATCTTGTTCAATTTAAGCAACAAAAATACGTATTTAATATTTTACTATTATCTTAGTGACGGAATAAGACTTTTTTATTTCCAGGCATCGTCCCTATTAAATATTATAAAAATAATAATTGTTTACAGTAAATAATAATTTCAATATTACAGTTACAATTTATGGTGGAAAACAGACAATATTAAATGGTATTTGTTATTTGTATATTAAGGTCGGTGCAAATCTGACGAATGATCCGTCAGTGTCTGACGGAAGTAGGTTAGTACGCGACGGAACATCCGTCGAATGTGCAAGGTTGATATCATATCATATATTTGTCAGCGTAAAAACAGCGTAGGTTGCCATGGGAATGAGAGGGATGCTCACTGGGGCTCCATTCTCTGCACGTCAATTTCACGAACAAATCTGCTCAAGTTGACTAATGTCATGATAATTAACCAGGAAATGATAGTTCTGACGTTAATACTATACGACGCCTCTTTCGTCAGACATTCACCGACCCATACTTTCAAAGCAATACATTATTGCACTCAACTTCTAAAAGAGCAATGTGCACCAACCAATACTTTTAAAGCAATACATTGCATTTAACTAAGAAAAGTGGTATGTAACCTATGATCTGCGAATCCCTATAGGTCTATGACTAAACCAGCCCGTATTCTCGTTTATGGAGTTTGAATAAAATTTCGAACTCAAGATAATAACTTTTAACACCCGATCCCATGACCCTTGCGAAAGGTGTTTCATATCCACAATGCAGACTCATTATGTTTGCAGTACATACCAAAAAATAAGTGGTTTTTATTAAGGGCACTCTTTAATTTGTATTTAAATAGGAGTAATTGAACTGCTTCGACTCACCTGTCCTCTGACAAGACTTGATCGAACTCCGATGAAGACACCAGGAACAGTATCGAGGTGACAGAGTCGAAACACTGCGTCCATTTCTGTCGCTGAGTCCGCTGCCCGCCGACGTCCACGAACACGAAGGGCACACTGTTTATGTTTATAGTGCACTCCGTGATGCCTTTGGTCGCCTTCCGACAGTGCAGGATGTCCTGGTGGGAGGGCACGTAGTCCGGTCGAGCTATGCGTTCTAGTTCGTCAAAGAAGTAGCTCACCGAGTCACTCTGGAATGCGAATAGTAAAAAAAAATATTAGTGTAAGAGCAATAACAATAAAATTAAATTTTAAACTGGGTATGGAATTACACATCAGCACTGAGGATCCATCCATAACGACTTTTAATATCACTGGAAGTTTTCAAACAGTAGTCCTATCTTTGTTATCGAAAAGCATTTAATTGGTGTTGTAGGTGTCCATGGGCGGCGGTAGTCACTCACCATCAGGTGATCCGTCTGCTCGTCTGCCCCCTATTCCATAAAAAATTGATATTCCTTCTTTTTTTAAAAATTCCTGATGTTAAGAGTCGCTTTGTAGCTTTCATAATAGGGAAACTTTCCCCATCTTTCTTATCAAGATTATCAATCTAATATGCGAGCTCTTATTATCAATGTATGTACAGTGAAAAAAAAAAAAAAATTGTCACCATAAATTTTAATTTTCTTCTTTTTTAATTAATGGCTTATCTTCGCATGCTAAGAACAGGTCAATAATCAGTACCAATTTAACTAAAAAGAGTATTTAATGACTTGCCCTATTCTGCCAATGTCAATTTTATTTAATATCAACGTTATGCCTTCTTCTTCTTTTCTTGATAGCTATCATCTTCTTTTCTTGATTAATATCAATTGAATAATTTAATTTAGACATGAAAAATGAAATGAATGAAAGATGGCGATGATATTTGACAATTAACAAGTAACAAATGTAATTACAGTTTTACAGCAGCTTCTTCAATCAAAGAATTTTTATCTGCCGTTACCTATTATAATTTTTTGGTTATATGTACAATGTAAAATAAAAAAGTTTTCTAACAAAACGAGATCTTTAATTCATAAAAACAATGACAAAATTTTAAAGAAGAATAAACCTTATCAAAGAGTAAAGCATAGTTTTGCAGCATTATACCTATTTTGTGACTTGGGTTCATAAGGTAGTAAGTGCCCGCGACTTCACACGGGGGGGGGGGGGGGGGAGTACATACACACGAAATATCACGAGGTGGGGTGTAGAAATATATGACGAGTATTTATTTTTCCTCAAACGCACGATTACTAATCCAAAAGGGCATCGACAAAAAACTTTTTTTTTGTAGGTACCCAAAATACATGTAATTTGATGATGATGATAAGTCCCTGCTTTCCATGTCCTCTTCTAATTTTTTTTCGTTTTTGGAGGGTAAATAATAATAATTATTAAATTTCCTTCTGCTATCTAAGTTATTGACAGAAATGAAAATGCAGTATGACAAGATTTAACACCAGTCTAGATTGTGCAACAGAATTACTACCATTACCTACCTCATTTTAATGAATACTACATTATTTAGTAATCAGACAGCTTCAAAATAAACATGGATATTATTAAGAAACTACGTATGACAGTAACTGACACATCATAAACGTAAGCCATGATATATTTGTGACATCACAAAGGTGTTGTAAGAGTGATGAAATAATTTGCTATCAACTGGCGTACTATAACGAGTTAGCGTAAAATTGCTATTTAATGCCAGCCCTATTTAATGCTAGCTCTATTTAATTATCGCCTACTCTATCCGTTTAATGTGATATGTACATAAAACAAGGAGTGTTAATTAATTAGTAAGGTGCGTTTCACGCGCGCGTTTGATGGTGACGAAGGCGAAGCGGCCGATGAGTGTCACAGTTTCATACCTATCGACTATCAACAGATGGCACTTAGTGTTCTCACTTGGTGTTTTTTTATTAACAAAGGAACACGACGTAATAAATTATTAGTCACCCATCCAATGATCAGTCATTTCGAACGTTGCTTAACGTGCAAATTCGCAGATCGACCGCGTTATTCTATAACTGCAACGTATTTCACAAAAGCTCCTCAAAAGCTCGTATAGTGATCCAATTAGTTTACTAACTTCTAATGCGGAAACGTCCCATTTGACAAAGACTTGGTCCGTCACCTTCGCTGTAGTACATGTAACAGCTGATAGAGTATTTTCGGGTCGTTGACCCATAAAAGGTCGACGATTTAATAAAAGGTCAGCCGGGCGAGGTGCTAACCTCTCAATAAAAGTGTAATTGGCATCAGAATAAATTCATATCTAATTTGATAAACTCAAAAGCAAATTATGATTTACCTGCATTATGATTATAATAATAACAAAACAGAACATGAGTGATATTTAGATAACATTTTAATTTTAAACTCTATATAAAATCTGATATCGCGTACAGACACACTCTGATATAAAAAAAATATAAATCAGATTTCATTTTTGATCATTTTTGACAATGAAAGTTGTACCAAACTGGAAGTTATATTTTTCGTAAATCACTCATGGGCGGTAAATTTTAGAATCGAGTTGAATATTCCAATAAAATATGGATATTTTCATTTATAAAAGAAAATTATGTAGGTTTGTTTATTATCAGCTAGGAATGCTGTCAATCAACGAGTAATAAAAGCTTCTGTTCCTAAGTCACTGGCCATCATAACATTCACAATAATACACTACTCCATTCATTATAGACCTGTGGCTTATCATAAGAGAATTTTTACTGCACAGTTCGATTATAAGACTACCTTATTATTTTTCCTGATAATAAGTGACTATTTATATAAATACAGATATGCGTATAATTTTATTTTGATCTAAACTATTATATACAAGTAAACTTTGTTTCTAGCGGGAAATTTATGAAACACTGATCCGAACATGAAATTCTTTCACTTAGGGGAAGCTACATCATACGCGTGTGACATATACCTATAATTGACGAAGACGAAGTCACGATAAAACAGCTAGTAATATTTATAGTAGGACTTCTCTGCGCTGTGCTATGGTTAACATTGGCGTCTTCAATGACAGTAAAATATAACATCAGATTACTATATTTAAAATATGGTCTCCCGTTGCTACTGTCTGTTTGTACGAGATGAACTTGAAATTCATCGATTGATTTCACGTGCGGTTCTGGCCAATTTAACTAAGAAAAGATTGATTATATTTCGTAATCATACTTTTAGAAAATAAATCTTAAAACAATCAAGTCTCAAATGTCGACTTCGAAAAAGTCGAAGTTCGAATCTAAAACTTTGGCGGCAGGATAATAATAACATACTAGTCTGTAGTCTTGTCATCTGACTAAATTTTTCCTTATGAATTCTACATTTGATTGTCAACATAGCCAAAAATATCTCAATCAGATCACGTCGTCGGCCATATAGGTATAAACAGGCGTCTATTGTAGGACATGGTATGTTATGTTATGACTTGTACTCGTACGAATACTATACGCGCGAGCAACCATACCGTCTCACTCCATAATTGCGCAAACAATTATAATTTATTTAAAAAATCTAACGTGAGATATCTTTTCATTTTATTTTTACAGTTTTTGGAAAACTTTAGATGAACAAATATGAAGACTCAATAAAATTCCAAATGCCAATTACAAGTTTTAATAGATAAAGATTATAACAGACTATTTAGTGACATGAAAAATATAAATACTATATGATATTACATTATGAAAGCACTATTTTAATTTTGGAAGAATATATCATTGCTCAAAACCATAAGTATAAGACTTAATCTTTAAATAAACATCATTTATTATAAAATAATATTCCATACACTTTTATGTACAATTTAAAAAAGTAGAGGAAACCCCACGACTAACGCTACGAACTACCCTTAAAAGACTCCTTATTTTCCTTATTGCATTACTTTTTTGACGAAACTATGTATTATTACAACAACACCTGTGAAGCTATAAGAGCAAGATCTGTAACAACCACGTAAAGTTAACAATTGGGCAACACTTCAAAGACTAGGCTATGAGGCTTTAAACAACGTATAAATAATATTTAATCACGAAACAGTGAATTAAAAAAAAATACTAATAGATCCGTCCGCGACTTTTATATTTTTATATGGGTTACATTTGCTGGATCGCGAGTGTATTTACCTTGTTGAATCATTACTGTCAAGGGCACTAGTTAAATACGTAACAACACAAAATTATCGACATAATGCCTATTAATACGATGGAAATACAAATAAATATCATGTAATATTACGTTTTACTGTTGACGGTTCCAAACATGCATATAAAACTTATACTATTCTATTCAAGAAACAACAGTCGTCAATATCAACCGGAATGCTTCCCCAACATATGTGTAAACTAAGATCTCCCCAAGTATGTGCTAAGTATCTGACAGTCTTGATGCCAACCAACGCTTTCTTGTTTCTACCAACACTGCCCTGCGATTCTATAAAAATCCAGACCAGAATTCAAATGCACTCATGTGTCCAAATTCACTTGATTTTCTGTAGACATTCTATTGATTCAATTTTTTGTATATACTCGTAAATACAAAGCAAAATCGGTAGAATATACGTGTCTCAGATATTTTATTGCTATGTCATTTAGAAACTCCCTTCACTTATGACACGAAACGTTATTGCCAATTCGAGGTTGAGCGGATGCCGCTTTTTGAAGCGAATTCGGAGACATGAGTGAATTCGAATTCGGGTTTGGATTTATACAGAATCGCAGGGCAGCACGCCAACCGCGTAACATTGGCTTCGATTTCATTTATATCGGATTCAATCAAAATGTTTTCTACTGTATTTTCAGATTCAAGTATGTAAAGTTCGATCCATCAGTTTGAATCAAATGCACTCAGTTTGTATAGCAAGTATTGTAAGTTGGTTGCATATGATTGAATCCGATGTTAATCTAATTCCTTGATAATCCATTCATTCGTCGGTCTATCTTATGAGTTTTCTGATACATGCCCACCACTTGAGGATATCGGTCGTAAGAGCTAAGGTTCAATCAATACAATTTATCTGCTGACATCCTCGGTTATCAATCTTCAATCTATCTAATCTCATTCTATCAAGAGAAACCGTGGAACAGTAATAACAGGTAATCGTGATTTTCTCCCGTACAAATTGAACAGTTTCAGAAGTAAGAACAAGGTTTAGACATCCTCTCAACAAAATATAAAGAAA